CTCAGTTAGTTTTTGCATTTTTTGGTAGAGATGAGGTTTCACCACATTGGCCAGGCTGGTCTCGGACTCCCAACCTCAGGTGATCCACCCGCCTTGGCCTCCCAAAGTGTGGGGATTACAGGCTTGAGCCACTGCTCCCAGCCAGAAATTCAGGTTTATAAAGATCTCACCTATCATACCCAATGTATTAAAATCCCAGATTTGGATATCAGTTCTCTTCTTCTTCATTTACTACTAACAGAATTACCATTAACTGTTTAAAAAGTCCAAGTGGCCCCAAATTATAACCTTCTTCTTTTTAACTGTGCAGTTCCTTCCAACTCCTCACTCTTTTCTGTAAGAAGTTCTTGCTTATTTTATTCTAGGCATCTATGTAGTCAGATCCCCTTTCTTACCCCTATTTAATATTTGAGTCGAGTCCTGTGTTCCTTAGGCTCCATTAGGTATCTGATATAGTTACATACTTACCTGAGGTGAGCAAAAATCACCTGGTGGCCATCAAGCAGACCATCCGGAGGCAAACTCCTTAGCTGAGGAATTTAGATGTATAATGAAGAGAGCAAAGATCACCTGGTGGTCATCAAGCAGGCCATCCAGAAGCAAAACTCCTTATCTGAGGAATTTAGAAGCAATTAGACTTCCTTGTTATCTAAAGCCAGCATCTGGTTACCAGGTTGCTTTCCCAGAAATGTATAAGTAGCTAGAATTTCTATATATCTCCTGAATGCATGCATATCGAAACTCATTGTGCAGCCTTTGCGGACATCAAGGCACCAACATGTCTACAAATGTAATCATCTATCATGACCTGCAAAACTAATAGGGTCCAAATTACCCTTAAGTTCCTGCTTTAAGGTCTACAAATACCCCTAAGGAAAATCCACGTAGGCCCACTCAGTCCTCTCTTGCTGAAGCGCCCCACTACAACGTTCTTTCTGTCTAAGAAAACTTGACTTTTTAAGCCTGTGCTGTTGTCAGTAAATTCTCTTTAGTACCTGCGTGCCAATCACTTTCTGTTGCTGGGGCTCTGCTACCTTGCCCAGCATTACCAAATTCATATTCTACTTTGGAAAGCTGGAAGTATTTTGTATACCGGCTTATGAATGATCTTTATCATTGAAGTCTGACCACTTTACAGAAAAAGTAGACCATCTTGTTTTCGAAATTCCAGCAATAAAGAATAATGTAGTGTTATTCACCTTAAATGAATTATGGTACATCCCTAAGGTGGCTATAAAATAGTCATTTAAATTTGTACTGATAAAATTTCTTATTTTTATTATTTATTTATTTATAGAGACAGGGTCTCACTCTTTTGCCCAGGCTGGAGTGTCATGATCACAGCTCACTCCAGCCTCAGCCTCCCAGGCTCAGGCTGTCCTCCCATCTCAGCCTCTTGAGTAGCTGGGACTGCAGGCACACACTGCCATGCCTGGCTAGTTTTTGTAATGTTTTTGTAGAGATGGGGTTTCACCATGTTGACCAGCTTGTCTCAATCTCCTGGCTTCAAGTGATCTACCCATTTCGGCCTCCCAAAGTGCTGGGATTACAGGCATGAGCCACTGCACCTGGCCATAAAATTTTTTAAAATATAAAAAGATACTTAAAGTGAAAATATGATGTTTTCTATCTTAGTCTGTTTGGCCTGCTATAACAAGATACCATTAACTGGGTAGCTTATAAACAAACAAACTTATTTCTCACAGTTATGAAGGCTGGGAAGTCCAAGATGAAGATGTCCACACATTTGGTGATGTTAGAGGCAGGAGGCGGACAAAGGCCTAGGCAGATAGGGAAGGGTCCCTGGAGAACCTCTGACCCCACCCACAAGTGTTTACACCAGATGTTTTGTACAGATAAGGGAACTTGCACAGGGAGTTTGCCTAGGCATGTCCACAGCAGGCTGGAGACCCATGCACTCCACCCATGAATGGGGTGGAGCCACCAGGAATTTGTGTCTTATGCAGGGGAGGAGCCTGGCCTCTTCAGCTGGTGTGTGGTAGCCCAGGTATTCAATCTGGGATGTGAAAACCTGCTTGCAGGACCCCCTCTCTTTGCTGAGAGCTTTCTTTTTGCTTAAAAATTCCACCCTTCTCACTCTTCAATGTGTCCGTGTGCCTAATTCTTCCTGATCATGAGACAAGAACCCAGATTAGCTGAGTTAAGGAGCAAAAAATTCTGCATCAGTGAGGGCCCCCTTTCTGGCTCATAAATGTCATCCTTTAGCTGTGTCCTCACAGGGTGGAAGAGTGGAATGAGCTCCTTTGGGCCCATTTTTTATTTATTTATTTATTTATTTATTTATTTATTTTTGAGACAGTGTCTCTCTCTCTCTCTCTGTCACTCAGGTGGAGTGCAATGGCCTGTTCTGAGCTCACCGCAACTTCTGCCTCCCAGATTCAAGCAATTCTCCTCAGCCTCCTAGGTAGCTGGGATTACAGCCATGCACCACCATGCCTGGCTAATTTTTGTATTTTTAGTAGAGACAGGGTTTCCCCATATTGGCTGGGCTGGTCTTGAATGCCTGGTTCAAGTGATCCACCTGCCTTGGTCTCCCAAAGTGTTGGGATTACAGGTGTGAGCCACCGCGCCTGGCCCCTTGGGCCTATTTTATAAAGGCACTACCAATCCCATTCATCAGGGCTCTGCCCTCATAACCCTATCACCCCGCAAAAGTCCCCACCTCTAAATATCTTCACCTTGGAGGTTAGGATTTTAACATATGAATTTGCGGGGTCAGGGGGAACATAAATATTTTGGCATTCTGGAAGATTGTGACTTTGGAAAACCATAAAAGACATGTATATAAAAGCAAGATGGGAGGAAAATGCAGTTAAGTTATCAACAACACTTACCTGTAGGTTTTAGGTTTGGGTAGCTAGGTATTCACCAGGCAGATAAGAGTGCTAACAAATGCTTAGAGATATGAAAATTTATCACATATTTTGGAGTCAGCAAGGAAGCTATTTATCTGTAGATATCAGTGCAACACAATCCAGGAGGCTGTGTGTATCAGCAATTGACCTTGCTTGACCTGATAGATCTTTTATTCCTCTACCTTGGTATGTGTTTATTTAAATCCACTTATTAAGGCTTATAAAGCAGTTTTTTTGGTTAAAAATCTAGGACTGAATAAACAGATTTTGCTAGCCTATACTATTGCAGATATTGTTACCAGAATTTGTTACTGCTTACCACAGTATAAACCATTACTTGAGAATGCCTGTTTGCAAGGCCAGTTTTCCACTATCATTATTAATTGGCTTGAACAACTGTACAGTAATACATTTTTTTCATAAAGTACTAATGCATTTCTATTTTTCTTCCTCTCAAGATGAAAGAAAATTTTGTCATGGAGTCCCTACCATCTGTACCATCAACTGAAGGAAACAGTCAACAATGCAGATTTGATGACCTGGAAAATCTTAATTCATTAGCAAAAAGTAGTCTGGATTTAGGTTTGTGGCTTTTGTTTCTCATAAACACAAATTACATTATTCTGCAAGCTTTCAGTTTTATGTTTGTATACATGAATTTTACATGTATTTTTATTCATTATGATGTTTTGAGTTTACATCTGCTTATTAATTAATCTGCTTCAGAATACCTGAAAGAATAAACAAGCCTCAGATTTCAACTTAGAATTTTCAGATTCTCTTTTCTGAGAGGGCTACATTTTCTCTGCCTCATGTTGCATTTTACTAGCAGTGTGGATTGAAACTCAGACTAGAACCTTACGCCAAATCTGAAATAAGTTTCTACTAATATGTATTAAAATCTCTGATGCTCTTAAGTAATATTGCTAGCTCATTTAATGGGACTGTTAAATATTAATAAAGAGAGGCATATTTTAAACATTTATGAAACATTTTTATAGCCATATATTACAGTCAATTTTAGTACATTAATAACTTAGTTTCCATTAAAGAATTCTAAAAGTATAGTGCCTCGCCCTGCTGCCCCTCAATATCGATTCTTATATATGTTTGAAAACTTGACTTTAAAAAAGAATTTTTCTTCATCTAACACTAAAATATCGAATGTCATTATAAAATTGACATCCCTAGGGAGATTGTTAAATGCTTTCATAGCACTGGGATTTATAGAGCCATTGTTGAGGATTTATGCTGTCCTTCACTTGTTATGACTACTTATAAGTCTTTCTCTGTGTTGTATAGTAATATGTTGTAAGGGTAGAGAGGGCTATAGAAAGTGATGTAACAGTTTTATACAAGATTAGGATTCTATTAAGTAAATTCTAAAAAATTGAATACTTAAGGGTAAAAATTGCAGGCATCTCTGAGATGATAACATACAGTTTCCTGTGGGTCAAAACAGAGCACGGAAAAAAAAAGAAGACAGAGTATGAATACTTAATTTTAAATATCTAAGATTAGATGAATCTATCCAAGTTTTCGAGATCATGACTAGGAGAAAAATGGGACTTACCAGAATAAAACTCTCCAGGTATATTGCTTTCTAAAATTTACCACATTTCTTGCAGTTCTCTATTAAATAGTTGGAGAAGATTTATACCACATATGTTTCAGTAAATGAATAAATAGAACAAAGCTGTTTCATTACTATTAATACTAAAGCAAACTTAGCACCATTTTGGACCAGATGAGTCTTTCGGTGAGGGTGGGGTACCCTGTGCATTGTAGGATGTTTAGCAGCCTCCCTATCCTCTAACCCTAGATGCCAGTGGCACACCTTCTCCCAGTCATGATGAAAATGAAAATGTCTCCAGATGTTGCCAAATGTAGACTGTATAAACCACTGGTTTATACTGTCAAGATCAAAAGAAATAGACTAGCTATGTGGGCTGGTGTTGGGTGGAGGAGCAGTAGAATAAGAGGCAATCTTAGATTTATCTACAGAACAATGAATTTAGAAATAATTGTTGAGAACCTCTGCGCAAAGGGATATTCTTGACCTTTTGGTTAATCCAAAATTATATATCTTTAAAAAGCATATACTCTTCATGGGTTATGAAACTAAATATTTAAATTTGGATAATTAATAATGTCATTATTGACATTATTGCATTGAGTAATATACTTAGTGTTACAAGATTTTGGAAGATTTCAGACAGAAGGTAGTTCTGTTTCCCAGTCTTTGACTGCTCAAAGACTGGGTTATGCCATTTGCAAGTCCAAGGTGATTCTGTGTTATTGTCAAGACTCAGTGCACATGCTTACTTGCAGGCCTGTCTCTTACTACACACTAAGCTTCAGGGGAATAAGGACTGTATCTGATTATGTTCACATAGTAGGTGCTCAAGAAATATTTGTTGAATGAGAAAATGATGTACTGCTCACGTGGTTATTCAACAGCATATCAGCTCACTCCTTTTTTTTTTTTTTTTCCCAGTTGCTAAGTTGTATAGTAACCCGATCTCTACTTTGGATTCTCCTTGCCTTTATTTTGTTATTCCATTCTTGCGTCTCACAAAATGTAGACCTTTAGAAAATTTCCGCCATTCCTCTCCTATAGGCATTAACTTCTGATATGGTTTGGCTCTGTGTCCCCACCCAAATCTCATGTTGAATTGTGATTCGCAACATTGGGGAAGGGACTTGGTGGGAGGTGATAGTATCATGAGGGCAGATTTCCCCCATCTGTTCTCATGATAGTGAGTTAATTTTCAAGAGATCTGATGATTTAAAAGTGTGTGGCACTTCCTCCTTTGCGCACGCTCTCTCTCTCCTACTGCCATGTGAAGACATGCTTCCCCTTCACCCCTCCGCTATGATTGTAAGTTTCCTGAGGCCTTCCTAGCCATGCCTTCTGTACAGCCTCTGGAACTGTGAGTCGATTAAACATGTTTTCTTTATAAATTACCCAGTCTCTGGTAGTTCTTTTTGGCAGATGGCAGTGTGAGAATGGATTAATACCATTTAAATCCTAGAGCATTTGTTTTTTTAAAATGTCCCTGTTTTTCTAACCTCTGTACCCCTGTTATGAACTTACGGGCTTAAGGAAGACATTTGATGCACAATTCATCATATTCTTGTAAACATGATAAAAACAATGGGCTGATAAATTATAATGAATTACTGGGGTATATCCTATGAGTGATTAATGGGTTTATGCCTGCATAGGTACAGGTCTCTAATATAGGCCATAGGACTCTATGCACAGGTTGCCTTGGTTATTCTTTTTCTCAGGAAATGGGGTAATGGCACAGATGGCATGTTGGATAAATTCACACATTCCAGGAAATTGGGAAGGATTGTCAGTATGTTGGATGACAGAGCTAAGATCCAAAGTGACCTTGATGATCTAGAATGAAGGCCTCCATCAAATAAGATAAACTATTTAAAAAGAAGAAGAAAAGTTTGAAGCTGTGCTGTTTGGACCCAAAACCTAACTGCCCACTTCTAAGATGGGAGAGACGTTGTTTGTAATTTGGTTTTTCTATCATTGCAGAGTTCTCCAGTACAGTGAGAAGAACAAATAAGGCTCACAGGACTTAGGGTTTCAGAATTTTCTTTTTTATTTTTTTTGGAGCCCAACTACTTCTGGGTCCCATTCTTTTGCTTGGTATATTGCTAAGCAACAGTGCTTTTTGTAGTGGCAAATCAAAACATTGGTAAAATTCCATCTCTTTCATCAAGCCTCCTCCTCATGCTATTCCTCCTACCTAGAATGGTATTGCAGATTTTTATGGGACTGATTCCCTATCACCATCCAGGTTTTTGACTACTCCATCTATTTTTTTTTCCCTTTTTCTTTTTATACAGAGTCTCACTCTGTCATCCAGGCTGGAGTGCAGTGGCATGATCTTGGCACACTGCAACCTCCACCTCCTGGGTTCAAGTTATTCTTCTGCCTCAGCCTCCCAAGTAGCTGGGATTACAGGCGCACGCCACCACACCTGGCTAATTTGTATTTTTAGTAGAGATGGGGTTTCATCATGCTGGCCAGGCTGGTCTCAAACTCCTGACCTCAAGTGATCTACCTGACTCAGCCTCCCAAAGTGCTGGGATTACAGGTGTGATCCCAGCACACCTGACGAGCTACTCACCTGTTTCTTTCTGTTCCTACCTGTTGCTTCATTTTCCTTCTTAGAACTTACCATGAGCTAAAATTGTGCTGTGTTCTTTCTGTATCTCTCTCCACTAGAATGTTAGCTCCCAGGAATAGGAACTTTGTCAGTTTTGTACATTTAGCTATCTCTAATGCCTAGAATAGTTCCTGGCAAGTAGCGGGTGCTTTATAAACATTTGTTAAGTGAATTTGTGAATGCGTGATTGAAGAACAGCCACAGAATGTTGGATACACTTAAAGGTATTTTTGTAGCTTCAGCTTCTTACCCCATTAGCCAAAGAAGTAAAATACTTAAGGTTTTGTGTCTTCTCACATTTATTTGATGGGAAACAAAACAAAATATAGAAGGTGCATTAGAACTTTTTTTCTTTGTTACATTTTCTAGGTTAAGCTCTACCAGATATTTTTGAATCCATAGAAGGTATGCAAACCAAAAAATAGATGTCCACAATCTTGATAAGAGCATACACTTGATTTCTTACCATTTGAATAAAAGCTATGTTATTATTACTCAACCCAGTACAATAGTATTTTATCATCTTACACGGGTTTGAGCTTTCAGTCATACTTTAATCACATAATGTGTGATATTTTAAAATATTTTTTCTTCCAAGAACACAGTGTTCAAAGAAATACATTGCAGGAAAAACTGTTTTGGCCAGCACGGTGGCTCACGCCTGTAATCCCAACACTTTGGGAGGCCAAGGCAGGTGGATCACTTGAAGTCAGGAGTTCAAGACCAGTCTGGCCAACATGACGAAACCCTGTCTCTACTAAAAATACAAAAATTAGCCGGGCATGGTGGCACACACCTGTAATCTCAGCTACTCAGGTGGCTGAGGCAGGAGAATCACTTGAACCTGGGAGGCGGAGGTTGCAATGAGCTGAGATTGCACCACTGCACTCCAGCCTGGGCGACCAAGCGAGACCTTGTCTTGAAAATAAAATAAAATAAAATAAAGTAAAGTAAAATAAAATAAAATAAAATAAAATCTATCTACAACGTACTGTGCCATGCATTGGAAAACCTAAGGCACTATTTGTTGTTCTCTATTTTCTAGAATTACAGACAGAGAAAAGCATCATGTTTGGAAGAGTTTAGCATACACAGCTCAGTGCAGAGTGAAGACTACATAAGGCAGGCAGCGGAGACATTCAGAAGAGTCCAGCTGTGGGGACCTTGTGTGCCGGGGAGGACCTTGAATTTGGCCTGTCTGCTCAGAAGCCTTATGCTGGGTCCTATGGGGGCAGCTTCACAGGATCCATGAACCACAGTTAAAAGATTTTTTTTTTTTTTGAAATAGAGTCTCGCTTTGTCGCTCAGGCTGGAAGTGCAGTGGCGTGATCTTGGCTCAATGCAACCTCCGCCTCCCAGGTTCAAGAGATTCTCATGCCTCAGCCACCTGAGTAGCTGAGATTACAGGTGTGTGCCACCACACCCAGCTGATTTTTGTATTTTTAGTAGAGACACAGTTTTGTCATATTGGCCAGACTGGTCTTGAACTCCTGACCTCAAGCGATCCACCTGCCTTGGCCTCCCAGTGTTGGGATTACAGGCATGAGCCACCGTGCTGGCCAAAACAGTTTTTCATGCAATGTATTTCTTTGAACACTATGTTCTTGGAAGAAAAAACATTTTAAAATATCACACATTATGTGATTAAAATATGACTTAAAGCTCAAACAAGGTCTCACTTGGTTGCCCAGGCTGGAGTGCAGTGGTGCAATCTTGGCTCACTGCAACCTCCGCCTCTTGGGTTCAAGCAATTCTCCTGCCTCAGCCTCCCGAGTAGCTGGGATTACAGGTGTGTGCCACCACGCCTGGCTAATTTTTGTATTTTTAGTAGAGACGAGGTTTCGCCATATTGTCCAGGCTGGTCTTGAACTCCTGACCTCAGGTGATCCACCCACCTCGGCCTCCCAAAGTGCTGGGATTACAGGTGTGAGCTACCGCACCCAGCCAGATCTTTAGGCGCTCCATTTACCTTGTCTGATTAAGCACAATTATTTTAGGCTCCCCATTTATATCATTTGAATAAATGGCATTCCCAAATCACTGAGGGTGTTTAATCAGAAGTCTCAAAGCTCCTTTACGAGACGATCAAAGATATACTTGTTCTGTAGAATGGACCGTGGGATGTACAATAGATGGGACTTCCATTCTAATCATAACATGAGCTGTAGATTTCTTTGTTTTTCTACTTTGGAAAACAGTATACTCATTATTTTTTAAACTTAAAAACTCATTGTTGGCTTATTAAGCAAGTACTGTATTTACGTGTTGAGAAATATTTGCTAGGTGCTTTCTGTATAGGAGTGCTGCTCTGGGTCATGAGAGTGGAGCCGTGAGCAAAATAAAGTCGGCCCTCGTGGAGCCCACGTTCTGGTGGGGGTAGACAATAACAAATTAATGTATAATATTATAGGGTTCATGAAGGAAAATAAAGCAGTAAAAAGAAATAGGGAATGTTTGAGGAGGAGGCCTATTTTATATGGAGTGGTCCGGCTGTTTTAGTAACAGTTGACTGACACGTGAGTAAAGTAAGCCAGCCCTGTGTGAAAACATTTGGGATATGGCTGAGAGAACAAAAAATGCAAAGTTTTGAGGAGGTTATATGCTTGGTGACAAAAAACAATTAAGTGTGTTCCTGGAGGATAAATAAGATAATGCAGATAAACAAAAAGTAGAAATAAAAAATTGTCTGTGGAGGTAATCGCAATTTGGTTTATAATCTTCCAAATTTTTCCAGTTTGTGTGAAACACTACCTGTCTACCCTCATAACTGTGTCATCTCAGCTTTCTCCCTCAACCCCAGATCTTCTGGGTTTCTTTTTCCTTTTGTTTTTGTTTTTGAAACAAGGTCTCACTCTGTTGCCCAGGCTAGAGTACAGTGGCGACATCGTTCCTCGCTGTGATCATCCTCTTGGACTCTAGTGATCCTCCTGCCTCAGCCTCTCGAGTAGCTGAGATTACAGGCATGCTCCACCAAGCCTGGCTCCTGGAGTTTCGCATGTTGCCCAAGCTGGTCTTGAATTCTTGGGCTCAAGGAGTCCACCTGCCTCTGTCTCCCAGAATGCTGAGTTTATAGGCATGAGCACCTGCACCTGGCCAATACTCTGTTTTTAAATAATAAACCATTATAACGCAGCTTAACTCCCTCTCCATAGATAACCATGGTGTTGAATCCTATATATTATACCTTATGCATTATCTTTTTATAGTGTATGTGTGAGGATGTGTATAGACAATATATGTGGACATACCCACACACACATCTATATATGATAGTTATACTGTGCCTAGTATATATACATGTATCAACATTTGATCTATTGTGGTGAGACTAAAGGAGCTTTCTTTATTTGGGCAAATGTAAGGAGAAAATACTAGCTTTTAATTTCTTAAATTAACATGATAATTATATAATATGCTACCAACAACTAGGGAAGAACATAAGAAATAAAGTCCAAAAATCCCCACCATACTTCTCAAGCTTATTATGTGAACCTTTCTAAGTAGAAATCAAAATTAATTGTTAGGAAGTTTGTTGTAAACATTTAAATAAATTATGGCAATCTGTACCCTTTACCTACTGGTAAAAAATTGGCAAATTTTCTTAACCTCAGTTTTCCTGTCTATAAAATATGGTTGATAGTGTCTTTTTTTTCTAACTCATAGTTGGTTGTGAGAATTAAATGAACAAGTATAGGCCAGGCGTGGTGGCTCATGCCTGTAATCTCAGCACTTTGGGAGGCTGAGGTGGGCGGATCACCTGAGGTCAGGAGTTCAAGACCAGCCTGGCCTACGTGACGAAACCCTGTCTCTACTAAAAATACAAACATTATTGTATTTTTGCATGCAACACCACACCTATAGTCCCAGCTATGCAGGAGGCTGGGGCAGGGAGAATTGCATGAATCCAGACGCAGAGGTTGCAGTGAGCCAAGATTGCGCCACTGCACTCCAGCCTGGGCAATAGAGCGAGACTCCGTCTCTAAAGAGAAAACTAGTGTAGAAGAATTCTGAAATGTATAAACAAAGCCCTTTTAAAAATAGAAGTGATTTTATTTGGTTTGTTATCCTGTGGAATTTTTTTTTTTTTTTTTAATCAGTGAAATGTCAGAGTTCTTATTGGGAAAGCTTAGGTTGATAAGAGAAAATCTATAGTAAGATTAGATTTTTTAGTAATATTAATATTGCATAAATGTCATTTTTTCAGTGAGGCCACTGAAAATTGTAACTTCTTCTGTTGAACAATTCCTATATTCCTTCCTTCTTTATTTTTCACCATTGTGCTTATCATCATCGGATATATTAAAGCCTTTATTTATTTACTTTAATATTTTCAGTCTCCTACCTGGAAGAGTCCCCTCCCATAGTAGGTGCCCATACCTAGTTGCTGAATGACTGAAGGAGAATGAATGCCTTTTGTGTTCACTGTTATCTGGATTTGCTCTTCAGGCATGATGCTGGATGATGCCCAAGGTCCTAGCTTGCTCATTGACCTTCCTGGTGTGGCTCAAAGTAGGGAGCAAGAAGATTTGCCTTTATATCAACACCAAGCGACGCGAGTTATTTCCAAGGCCTCAGCATACACAGGAATGTTGTCTTCTAGATATGCCACTGATACATGGTATGATATCATTTCTCTTTGTTTTCACATTATAAAATAGTGGTTTTTCTTGTTTTTTTTTGTTTTTGTTTTTGTTTTTTTTTTTTTGCTTAAAACAATGCACGATTTTGGTAGAACATTTGGAAAATACAGAAAAATATTATGAATAAAATCCACTATATTTGAAAATTACCGTGAAAATTTCATATACTTAAAATTTTGCCATATGTACAATTTTGTATCTTGCAGTTGTGCACAAAATGGATTACGTAGAGTATTTGCTTAGAGAATGGGAGGTTAATTCAGAGTTTATTTTAACAACTCAAGCAAATGCACTTGAGGACAAATTAAAAGAAGACCAATTTAAGAGTGAGGAAATCTACGGGAATCCCTTGACTCATTACATGTTGAGTGTAAGAAGGGGTAGTTGAGGATGACTTGTGTTTTTGGACTAGAAAACTAGATATGAGAAATTAGTGCTTCAATATAATATTATAGGAACATGAATGGGTTGGAAGGGAAAATGATGAGTTCAGCTTGGAACATGTTGAGGGTTAAAGTAGCCATAGAACAACAAAGCTAAATGGAATCAATTAGATATGTGGGTCTGGGAATTAATGTTGAGGTCTGTCTGGACATGGGTAATTGAGAGCAAGATTAAGCGCAGGTGAAACTCTTGGATTTGAATGGTCATCAACACGAAGCTTAAACAATAAGGCAAGCATGGGGTCAAGATTGGAATCCGGGAAGATAGCAATACTTAAGGCATGAACAGAGGAAGAAAGGGGTGAGCTGGAATGAACAAAAGGTACGAGAAAATTAGTCAACTAGACAGTGACTTAGAAAGCAAAGGAAGAGAATATTGTAACAAAAGGGTCTTCACAAACTATGTTCACATGTTAGTAAGGTCAATGTAGATAAGACAGAGAAGTTTTCCTGGGGCTTGGCCATATGGATGCCGTTGGTAAGCATTGAGCATTGTTAGTAAAGTGAATTCAGAGAGTAGTGTGTTGAGAATTGAACACAAGGTTAAAAATTGGACACAGAAAGAGCTGACTAGTGTTTTGAAAATCCTGGTCATGGGTTGGGCTTGGTGGCTCATGCCTGTAATCCCAGCACTTTGGGAGGCCAAGGTGGGTGGATCACCTGAGGTCAGGAGTTCGAGACTAGCCTGGCCAACATGGAAACCTTGTCTCTACTAAAAATACAAAAATTAGCTGGGCATGGTAGTGTGTGCGTGTAACCCCAACTACTCTGGTGGCTGAGGCAGGAGAATCACTTGAACCTGGGAGGTGGAGGTTGCAGTGAGCTGAGATTGTGCCATTGCTCTCCAGTCTGGGCGACAGAGCAAGATCCCATCTCAAAAAAAAAAAAAAATTAGCCTATTGTGATAGCATGCACCTGTAGTCCCAGCTACTAGGGAGGCTGAGGTGGGAGAATCATTTAAGGCTGGAAGGTTGAGGCGGGCGGCAGTGAGCTATAATTGTGCCACTGCACTCCAGCCTGGGTGACATAGCGAGACCCTGTCTCAAAAAAAAAAAAAAAAAAAAGAATGCATGTTACTTAGATAACTAGACAGTATTAATGGATCAAGGCAAAGGGGAAAAAATATATATATAATATATATAAGACATACGACATTTATGTTATATATTACTGAAGAGAATTTTCTTTGCTTGTGGAATATGCAGATGCCATAAAGGGGGTGATTAAATATAGTCTATGGAGATGGTAGAGGGAGAAGAGGACATTGCACACTTGGAATCACCTTGGATAGTTTGATAGGAGGAAGCTCACCTGGTCCACTGAGATAGGTGCCAGGAAGGAAAAGAAGGTCTGGTTGTAGGTACTTTTTATAGCTTGGGAGCAGGAATCCAAAGAGATTCTCATCCAATGATGATGTTTGTTTGTTTCTCTCACTTAGGGAGAAGATTATTTACTACTAAGAGTGATGAAGTGCTAATAAAGTGGGCATTAAAAGGAGAGGTGTTGGAGCAGAGATTAGCTTTTGAAAGAGTGATAGGGGAGTAACCACCTAGTGGTAGGGAGTTTTGAAAAATGTTTACCCTCTTTTTCCAACGCCCCTGGGAGTGAGAGAATGAGCTTCACCCACTTGAGTGTGGTATACTTGGCAGAGAACCAGAGCTGTTGAAGAGGAGGTTCAGAGAACGTTCAGTGAAGAGGTCAGGGCATGGATAGTTTGTTCACAATTCTAGCAGATTCCGTGCAGCGTGATGGATGATGTACATGGCAGGTCTTGGGGTGCGGCGTGACAAAGGAAGCACATTTGAAGGAAAACCTAGAAAGGTGTGGCATTGTGAGTAGGGAGATAAGAAGTGCACAAAGGAGTTGGCGCTTTCAGCAAAGCGTAACAGGGATGAGAGATAGGGTGAGCTTAATTGGCTTTAAATGTTTTTATTAAAACCTTAATCCAACTGTGATTTTTGTGTTGACATGAGAGATATCTTACATTTAGATGATGTGCATCTCTCTGTTCAGCAACCTGAAATTTTACCCAAAGTTTTAGGTAGAAATTTCGTAAAAGTTGTTCTCTGTGCTTCTGCATAGCCCATATCTGAGTGGAAGGAAGTGATACAGAAAGGCCAACAGCTTTTGTACTCTGCAAATGCCAGGTCGGTGTGCAGAGGGAGAGTGCTGCCGGGTCTGGTTTCCTAATGTGATATCCGGTGCAGCCTCTGGAGGAACACACAGTGATAAATAAGCAATGGATTTGTTTCTTTAGGACAGATGCCTGGAAGTGGAAAAGTTAGAAACATATTTTATGGCTTTTTATATGGTCAAAATTTTTTTCTTCTTTTTATTTTTGAGACAGGGTCTTACTCTGTTGCCCAGGCTGGAGTGTAGTGGCGCCATCTCAGCTCACTGCAACCTCTGCTTCCCAGGTTCACACCATCCTCCCACCTCAGCCTCCTGAGTAGCTGGGACTACAGGCATGTGCCACCAAGCATGGCTAATGTTTGTACTTTTTTTTTTGTTTTTTTTGTTTTTTGTTTTTGTAGAGATGGTGTTTCGTCATGTTGGCCAGGCCGGTCTGAAACTCCTGGGCTTAAGCAATCTGCCTGCCTTGACCTCCCAAATTGTTCAGATTATTTTTCCATGAGACACCATTGCTTTTTAAATTTCCCTTTTGCTTAGTGTGAATAGTTGAATCTGGCAGAAGAATGCAGAAGTGAGACTGCTTTTCTAAACTGTAGAACTGTAACTGTAGAATGTGAAGAATCAGAAAAGATCTAAACAAACTTCTAAGTCCACCCCTCCTTCCGTGGACAGAAGAGGAAGTGGAGCATCAGTTGTTCTTACTAAATTTGACCCCAGCTTCAGAGAGGGAAGATATGCTTTGTTCTTATCCCATTGCTTTTTCTTTTAAAGTGAGTATTTGACAAGCCGATTTCTTATACAGGCATGGGCATTGAAGGACTCCAACCTAACCTTGTCTTAGGAGATTAGTCTTGCACTTGAAAGTTGTTTTTTAAGCTTGTTATTGGAGATTTAGGGTATATTTAAATCCCAGCAGGTTCCAGAAGAGTTCCTGTAAATCATATTCCTTTTTTTAATCTTTAAGGTATGCCCCATGGAGTTAGGTTCATAGGTGAATATTTATTGCCACTTAGGAGCCTGCCTGAGTAATGCATAGATTATTTTAGATGATAGTCTTTCAAATAATCAGGGTGTCATGAAGTGCTAAATGGTATTTTGCAGTTCCTTCCTTGCATTAATTTTTGTGTACGGCCCAGCAGAGTTGTGTGTCTATGTGCCTGCACATGCATCCATGTGCGTGAGTGCCCCAAGGGTAAGTATCAAATGGTTGTGATGTTTTATCTACACTGCACTTTTGCACTAACTTCTCCTTACCTTAGGAGGCAGGACTGGTATTAAGAGTTCAGGTGCCCCTTGAAAGTAGAGATCTCTAGAAAGGGGACTATGGGCAAGTAGGGTATAATTCTGTGGAAGGAATTCAGGTGCTCTGGTTCAGAGCACAGTAGTCCCTTCTTATCCTCAAGAGATATGTTCCAAGACCCCCACTGGGTGCCTGAAACCACAGACATTACCAAGCCCTATATATGCTGTCTTTTTTGTACATGCATACCTATGATGAAGTTTAATTTATAAATTACATACAGTAAGAGATTAACAACAATAACTAGTAATCAAATAGATCAGTACTGCAGCAGTTGATCTGATAACAGATGGCTACTGAGTGACTTCTGGGCAGGCAGCATATATAGTGTATGGATATGCTGGACAAAGAGATGATTCACATCCCAGGCTGGACAGCAAGATACTTCCTCATGCTACTCTGAATGGCATGCAGTTTAAAACCTATGAATTGTTTATTTCTGAAATTTTCCATTTAAGATTTTTGCCATTACTGTAGTTGATCACAGATAATTGATACCAAGGAAAGCAAAACTACAGAAAGCAAAACCTCAGCTGAGTGGAGGGGACTACTGTATCCTTCTTTGTTCCTAAGGTCACTTGAGATCGTGTTTTCAGACCTCGCCTGGTTTCAGTCTTTTTCTTCCTCATCTCTGTTATTTTGGGCTGTTTAAAGACCTATGGGTGCCCCTAGTGGGGACGTGGGTATTTCTCAGACAATAGGAGGTCTGTGGTATGGATATATTATGAGTGCTGTTCATATCTTTCTTCTGCTATTTATACCTGTGTGACCCTGAAAGGGTTTCCTTTGTGTCTATCTTTTCTCACCTGTAAAGTAGGTAGTTCTGTAGACTGAGTAAGTATTAATACAGGCCAGTCATGGTGGCTCACGCCTGTAATCCCAGCACTTCATGTGGCCGAGGTGGGAGAATCGCTTGAGGCCAGGAGTTCAAGACGAGCCTGGGCAACATAGTGAGAATCTGCCGCTACAAAAAAATAAAATACAAGCATGGTATGTTGGTGCATGCCTGTAGTTCTAACTATTCTGGGGGCTTGGATGGGAGGATCTCTTGAGCCCAGCAGTTCGAGGTTACAGCAAACTATGATTACACTGCTGTACTCCA